GTTTATAGATAGATGCGCTGCCAGCACAGGAAGACTTTGTTGGTTGGGAAAATAACTGCGTGAATAGAAGACAGAGTCTGAGTTTCAAGCTGGATGTTGGATCCATCCAAGTGTAACGAAAATTGAGAGCTCAGCACCAATCTGAGCTGGACAGAGTCTCCAAAACCAGATCCTTCTCCTCAGGATTTCCTTCCCATTCTAGTCGAAAGGTTGAAAAGCTGACATGTTATTACCTGCAGCAGTCTCTCACCGTGCCTCCTACCTTAAATTAAGTGTCTTGTTGTAGTTAAATGACTTCTGTTAGAAAGGAGCACTTTGTGTCTACTGCAGCCTCAGAGGAGGGTTCCCACAGTGGCCCATGTGTTCTGGCCAGAGCTCTCAGGTCAGGGGGTTTGGCTTTGTGGAAAAGTTTTGAGTGGGGAAGTGAAATTGGCTTGATTGGACCAGCTGTTACAGTCCCTTTGAAAGCACGGCCCTTTTCTCCTGGATTTTATTTAATCGTTCCCGGGTCTTTATCTCAAGGTTTGGTTCCCCAGAGACGGCTGAGTGCTTTCTCACGGCAAGCGAGAGGTCGGCGGTTCTGGGGTTTTTGGGGTTTTTTTTTTTTGCTCCTTCAGCAGAAGTAGATTTCCTTTTATCTGCTACCAAAAAACAACCTGAGATCAATTAAAACTAAAAATCATTAAAGATGAAATACGTGAATTGAAAAACATTTTTTATACATGCAAAGTCAATATTCCATGTTAATCGACCAAACAGAAAATAGAAAAATAAAAGAAAATCCTCAAATGTTTACAAAATTAGAATAAATCTCAGGCGTCACTTCATTAGTTCAATCTAGTTTATTATATCTTGTCACCTGGTGCAACCAAACTTGCTTGCGGACCTTCCGCCACAACAATCCCGCCCCCTTGATAAACCAATCACATACACTTTGTTCACTCGTGTAACATCGGGCACCACTCGGTTATAACAGCCGTTTCCCTACGACTTTAAGGCTGATACAGCTAATTACAAATTTACAATCAGTCTAACCGATCCCTGATATGTGCTGCTGATTTTTAAGAGGCCGATCCTTTAGCCTGATATTGCTTTCTTCTCTTCCATTTACATGATAACACCAAATTTATAACAAATGTAACAAGTTTCATTTAAAATAAAAATAAGAAAAATGTATTAACAAATGATAGAAAACATGTTAATACATTGAACAAGGCACAGATGCAAAATCAGAAAAAAGGCTGCAGGTATTGACTGATACCAATACAAGAAAAACCCACAATATCTGCCAGCCAACATATCAGTTTGCCTTCAGTAAAAATAAAAATTTGAAATAAATTCAGATTTATTGCAGCAGCATGGTCTCACTCTAAACAGCTTAGAAATGTTCAGATTTAAATATGCTGATGAAGGTTCTCAGTCATCCAGGTCATAGTCATTCTGTAAAAATTCAAAAAATATCAACTGGACTTGGTTTCCAAGGTTTGAATATGTTGGAAATCTTACACGAGATTTCAAATCTTGGAAACCAAGTCCAGTGGATATTTTTTGAATTTTTACGGTAAGTTCAGATTTAAATTTGACAAAATTCTTTCAGTAAAAAAAGACTTTAATCCAGAACCATCCAGCACTCCTCAAGTGGAAAAGTTCTAGATTTATTTGTAGTAATTACATAAAAATTCTTCTTTAAAGGAACTTTGGCCATCCGATTATTATTTAAAAAAAATTATTGACGGATTAACGGATTTGCGAAATAATCATTAGTTGTAGCCCTACTTATTAGCTTTGCAAACATAAAACAATTGTTAAATAAAGATGAAGTTCTAAGCCATAAACACTGAGGTAAAAATGATATATATTAAAGATATTAAGATAATAATGATAAATATTTGTTGGCAACCATCATGCTAGAAATAAAAAGAACCAAAGCATTTTTCTCCAGTTAATTTTTGCTTTTAAATGGATCAGGGTTTCTAGGAACTTTATTAAAAAGACTTCCTCTTAACTGGGGTTAGAATATTTAAAGACACAAAAACACAGTAGCCTCTAGCCCCTTTTCAAATAAAGGAAGTTGCCTCAGAACTTGATGAAACACTGTTTTTTTCCAAATATTGATCTTGGATTAATCTGCAAATGTATTTATAGCTCATAATTATGGAAGTCATAAAAATTGAAAATACTGATTGATAACCATTTAGTGCCTATTAGACTGCAAGATTCCTGTGAATATACTAGAACTTTAACTGGAACTGAGGGCTTTGGTCTGAGGAGAGCTTAACTTTATACCAACAAGACCACAGAAATCCAACTGGTGAAAGTCATTTAATGCATGGATACATATTCTTAGTAAGAGGAAGCCTTGTGTGATTTTTAAAGCTTCTTTTTTGTAAGAGAAATGCTTTCATGCATGAATCTTGAAACTTAGTTTTTTTTCTTTTAAGCACTTACTAACCTTCCCCCCTCCTGCTCACTGTTCTGTTGCAGGTATCACATCCTTGTGTCAAAATATGGTAATTTGGCCCCTCTGGTAGAGGTGGACCTGAGTCCCCGCTGCACCTCGGTGGATGTCCGCTTGGGGGACCGGGTGGAGCGAGTCAGTCTCCGCTTGGAGCAGACGGTGGGTGACCTAAAGAAGCAGCTTAAAGGTCTGCTGCAGCTGCCAACAAACGGGATCAGGCTGTTCCACATCGACAAAGAGATGAGTTCAGTGTTCGGACCCGAGGAGATGAAGTGCAGCTTCCGGGCCCTTCACTCCTACAGCATCCAAGACGGGGACGAGATTCTTGTGGTGCCCAAAGTGAAAAACCGCTGCAGCTCCTCTGATTTCTGAGAAAGGGCTCTGTAGCTTTGGATGAGAAATCAATAATCTAACAGAGACTAATCTTTGATTTAGTAAAGGTTTCTCAGTGCTGAATGTAAGTTGAGATATTTTGTTAAAACAAAAAAAAAAAAAAAAAAGAGTTGCACATTGAAGCTCTGACCTTAAATAGCTTTAAAACTACTTTCTGACACTTTGCTTCCTAAACAGGCTTTTTTTATTTTTCTGTAAGATGTGTTCACAGTAGATGCATCTGCAGGTATTTGAACCATGGGGGAATTTTTGCTTATATATTCAATCTATTTAAATATCATCCTGAAGCTTATTTATTCCAGTAGTGAAGATAGATTCTACAGATTCATTACATTCAGAGTGATTTTATCAAAAGTATTAACTTTAATTCTGGCTTTTACAGCTAATGGAAAACTACCAAGTTACAGAAGATTTGAAAATTACATCAGAGCGATTAAAAAGACTATTTACAACTAAATGTTTTGCTCAGACATCAAACAGTGGCACAGTTATAGCTCACAAGATATTATTGACACTGATGTTTCATTTTTTTTTATAATTGTTCTGGTTTCAATCAAAAAAAGTAACAAATGATGAGGAAAAAAATAATATAGAAGTTGTAAGACCTTTTTATCAAAAGAAACAATCCTATAAAAGGTACAATTTAATCAAAACAGATACATTTATTAATTAAAATGAAACAACAAATCCCAGTTTATATTTTCTTACTTTGTTTATTTTTGTTTTTATTACAAAAACCAAATGTGCTTTTGTCATTTCCTCCTGGAGCCAAATATTTAGTTTAAAGTAATAAATAAATCCCCCATGGATCAGATAACAAGCATTTAATGATGTAGTTCATAAGAATAAATAAATTATTTACGTCTGCAATATTGAGATGATCTTTAAGACAGCAGCTTCAGACTTTAGGGTGTTTAAAACAAAGACTTGCAGCTTTATTTGTATTTTTGAAACTATAAACTTATCCAGTTTACTTTCAAAAAGGCTATTAAAAGAAAACTTTTATAAAATAAACTAGATAAATACACAGATTCTATTATCTAAAACAGATTAGATCCAAGGCTAAAAGTTAGAAACCTCACACTGCTGCACTTTGCAGAGGTTATTATATAAATGCACAAATGCAAAACAATTGTAGATTAAAAATATAAAATAACAATAATAATGATAATTGTTTTTAAAATTATAAGTAGAGATAATATATAGATATATCATATAGTTAATTGTTATTGTATTGCCCTTTGTTGTGTTGCAGTCATCAGTTTATAAATATCTGAGAATAAAATATTTGAAAAGAAAAGAAGTTGAAATGTTGCCTCTTAAAGCCAACAGTGAACTTCGTCCTGCAGCTGGGACTGCAGTCAGTCCGAATGGAGCTTAAACAAGCATTTTACACAAGCTTTTAAGGTTTTTGTATACACAGCAGAAGCTTTTATATCTGATAAATAATTCATGAATTACATTTCTTTTCCATTTTAGAAGTATGCCACTCCGTGGAAAGCTCTGTTTGTCTAAAATAAGCTGAGCAGATTTAGAGTTAAACATACTTTGCTTAGTTTAGTGCACAAGAACATATTGTTGCTCAGTTTTCCTGGTTACCCAGATCAAATGGTTTGCCATATCTGGGTATCCTGGGATAACCTCCAGCAGATGCAGAAATGCTGTTTGGGGTAAAACAGAGCACACGGTTCCTGCCCTGTGGAGCCGCTCCGCAGGAAAGACGAGACTTCTCCGAAGGTAGCCCAGGTCTGGGCCGGACGCTCAGGTTACCGCAGGCCCTCAGGCTGTCGAGCTCATGAATGGAGCCGCTCTGCCTGCTTCGCACGGGCAGCTGAGAAGCGCAGAGAGCCTTGTCTGTATAGTAACCATACACCAGCCGCTGTGTCAAAGAGACTTCCGCTGCGTTTGGGATTGACCGGCTTCAACCGACAGGATTTCTCACCGATTTCAGCTCAGACTCTCTGTTACATCCGTCTCAAAAGAGCTGTTGGAGGAAATAACTTTACCTTTAAGTCGTTATAAAAACTCTGGTCCTGCATCCACGCTTCCACAGACGCAGCACCAAAAATAATGTGTCATAACCTTTAGTGTACGATGTTTATAACCCTCACTGCTGTACAGGATCACCTGCAGATTTCTGTCTCTCAGATATTACCATATTTCTTACCAAGTCTAAAATTCCACAATATAAGACGCTGGTTTTTACACTGATTGAAAATCCTGCATACATTTTATCCTCTAAGTCTTGTGTGTTTTATGGCTCTTTAATCTTGTCATAAATCTACTAGACTTGCCTGTCGTGAAAACTTAGTCGTTTTGATTTTTTCCCCGTAAATAAATGGTCTCCCAACTGATCCATATGGGCACACAGCGTAACCATAAGATACCTTTGTAAAAACACCACAGGCCGTCTCCAGGTGGACTCAGTTGACCTACATAGTTTGTTCATACCATTAATTTATCATGTTTCCATTCTAATTCCATTTCCGGCCTGCAAGCAAACCCTTTGGTCTGATTCTACTGAAATCTTAACGCATTGTTTTTTTATTTTCAGTGTAGTTGAGTGTTTTTGTGAAACGTGGGAAAAAAAATACCATAGAAAAGCTAAAATTGTGAGTGTTGTTTTCTTGAGCATTGTTTTTAATCTTTTTCTAGATCTTATTTTGATTCAGGTTGTTTTTTTAGAATAATTGATTCTTACAAAAGAAGGTCTCTGGTTTGAATCTTGAGCAGAGAACTCTGTTTGGAGTTTGCACGTTCTCTCTTTGCATGTGTGGATTCTCTCTCGGTCTTCTGGCTTCCTCTCCAAACAGCCCTTAGGTGTGAGTGTGTGCTTGGTTATTCTGTCCCGCGTGTCTCTCTGTTGCCCCATAATGGGCTGGATCGGGCCTCTAGCCCTCCGACTGTTCAGGGTTGGCACCATCAGGTGTTAGGAAATGCAAAACGAACCCTTTATCAAACTAGAATAACTAACCAACCTTGCATCCCTACATATTGTTAATTGGAGTTTCATAATCACGTTTACATTTCATTAAAATGTAATGTGCGGTGTATTAAAACTTAATTTTGAAAAACTACAAAGGAACGATGGAGAGCTTTTTTAAAAATGTGATCCTTATCCTGCATAGCAGCAAGGAGAACGGTCATCTTCTGTTATAATTTAAAGGGATATTTTAGATTTTTTTATGGGAGTCTGTTGCAAGGAACATATCAATATATTACCTTAAGAAGATGGCAGAAACAGACTAAAGTTTAGACCATGCAGCAGCAGTGCTAAAGGCGCGTTAATGCAGGAAGGGAACCCAGATGAACGTCTTCTTACTTAAAACAGTAATGTTTTTCTCAGGAAATACTATTCTGATGGCACTACCAACATTAAAGGGACACCTGATTTTTGTGACTACCCAATAAATTTACTCGTAGAGAAAAATTTACCTAAATGGTATGAAATTAAATGGAAATTAGAAAGGGGGGGGCATCATTGAAAAGTTTGCTCAAATGTTTCCTTGATTTCGTAAAAGAGTCTTTGTTAGTAATAACCTCTTAAACATGTCTCCTGTATGGAGATACTACATTGCCCAGTTTTACTTTTGATTTAATCCTCCATCCTGAAAGCTCTCTGGGACTCCTTTGATCAACCTCATCTTCAGTAGTTTCCAAACTGATCAAGTAGCTTGATTGTCTAGTATTTTTTTCACTTTAACATAATTATGTCCCCATTAAAACATTCGGGAGCTTAAATTCTGTCTGTAATAAATGCTGTCAGTATGTTTACTATAGACCGCTGTTTAGGATTAAACATCTAATATCTTGGTTTTATTCTAAATTTTGACAGATTTACACTATTTTGCTCTTTTTAATATATTTTTTTGGTGCTTCTTTGTGTTATTAATACTTCACTACCTATTTTGTTTTATAGATAGTCTAATACCGTTGTATGTGTGTGAATTACTCTGGTTGTCACTAAGATCTGATTCCAACTTTTAATCTCTTAAGTGCCATTAGAAAAGCATTCCTGGGAAAAACATCACTACTTTTAGATCTTTTAAAATGTTTTAGTCACAGTTTCTTACAGTTTAAAGTCATTTTTTCTGCGACGCCTAAGAAGAGACTCTGGCTGGGTGAGCATATTGTAGAAATCCTAAGACCGTCAACTGCTTTTAGCTCCACATCACAAAAAAAAAACTCCTCATTTCAGAATAAAAACTTAAAGGAATGCATATAAAATGTGTGCCTTTATATGGAATAAAGAAATGTCAAAGAATTAAAAACAGGCCGGATATGGTTGGTTTGCAGGAACTTTCCTCAGTATGAATAACACATCCGATAGATGTTAAAGTGCAGCGATGGTGCAGGAGAGCTTCCTGCAGAAAGGTAAATATTAAAAGCATGGTAGCATCTTTAATGCCTTCGCACTGAGGCTTTTCCAAATTTGCCACAATCCAGCTACTTTCCTGCATATTGGTGGTTAAAATGTGGCTCCAGGGAGAAGGGAATATAGCTTTATTGAGTGGTATGTTTGCAAAAATATTCTCTCTTGTTTATGAATGTGTGGTTTACAGCATGATGGGCACTGGGCTTTTATAGGGAAATGGATTTTCTCCTAAGAAAATAACTAAAATGTTGGATTTCATTTTAGATATGAATTGAAAAAGGAGCAACATTTTTATTTTCGTTTGATTTAATTTATATATAATGGCCTGTTTGCTGATATTCTGACATCCCTAACGTCTTACTTTAAACACAGAGGTGAAAATTCAAATATAAGACGCACATTTGGCTTTAAATGAAAAAGGCATATTTTCATAGATCTGAAAAAATACCCACCAGCTATTTCCAATCCTGCTCTCGTCTAATCTGATTGTATTTATCTTATTCATCACTTATGTTTTGTGATAGAAAAAACGAATCTACATACTATGTTCATCCATTTATTACCACAAAAAAAATTAATTACTGCTAAATAATTAGAAAATCCATTTGCAAAGAAATGCACAACTGATGCACTTACCGGTACTTCTGTTTTTTCTTTATCTTTAAAGTCCAAGTTAAGAGTTTATAATTATCTCAGAAGTTAGGCTGAGGGTTTGTCTGTGTGATGCTCTTATTTTTTCTAAATTTCTCCTCTTCTTTACTTTGGTAATGCTCTGATACAGTTGTGAGAAAATGTTCCCTTTCTTTCACCTCCTGGATTGCTCCTTTCTCGCAGACCAAGTGTAGCAGGTAACTGAAGCTGCGTTCTCTGTTATTGGTTTAAATATATAATAATGAGTTTGAAATCCGTTTTTTTTTTTTTTCATAATAGTTTCATGAATTGTTTGCTTGGTTTTCATGGCTGGAATTCCTGTTTGATTTAAATAAATCTATCTTTTAAAAAGTCCATCTTTTTCAGGGATAAAAAAGATTTTTTTTTTATATATACATATATATTTGCGGGCATTTCATTCTAATATTTGCAAAATGTTGCCATCCTTGACTTCCCGCCTTCAGCAACACCAAATACAGATCGTATTGACAGATTTTTAAAGAATTGTTTAAAAAGATTAAACAAGTAATGCAGTTTTCTTTGTGCTGTCTGGGGAAAAATGTGTTTTTTGTTGGTTGTTTTTTAACTTATTTCAGCATGTGCTTTCGGTTTTTGTGGTGGATCTCGACACTTTAATTTAGGTTTGGTTTCTTGATATAACGATGCTGTTTCTATGTATGTACTGTGTAATGATGCTTTTACTTCTAAATAAATAAATCATGAACTGGTTTCAGCTTTTTTTTGAAGTTCTAACCGAAAACATTGGCCATATATTCATTACCTCTGCTGCCATCTGTTCTTTGTGTAACGATCTTGGTTCTGTTCTTTTTCTCCAAGTTTTCAGTTTCAAGTTTAGCCAGGTTTTTCCTTGTTTTCTAGCTTTATTGGTGTGTCTGGATTCATTTAAGTTGCTTAGGTTTTTCTGTCTGTCCTCTGCTGCCCCCTTGTGTTCTTTTCCCTTTGCTTCCTCATCAGCTCTAGTCACACCTGCTCCTTATCAGCTCGTTAGTCCTACCTTTGTTCAGTCAGCCATAAATACACTCCCTCTGCAGTCCCTCTTTGCTGGTTCCTCGTCTTACCTCTTCTCACCCTGGCTCCTTGATGGTTTTCCCCTGATGTCTCCATGGTTCTGGTTTGTGTTTGATTTTTATGTCGGATTTTTGGATACCTGTTTTTGCTGCCTGATCTCTTATTAAACCTTTTAAGAAATCACCTCTGCCTGTCAGCCTCTGCATTAGGGTCCTCATTAAAACCTCCAAACAAAACCGTGACACTTTGTTACAAACTGAATGGTTCAGATCATCAAACACATTTTGAGTTGCATCCTTTTTTATTTTAAACTACAGAATATTATTACCACATGATGGTTTGTTTCCTTACTAATTAAATAAACCTCAGTCAGAAGGTTTGAGTTTACATTTTAACAGCGACATAATTCCACTGCTATAAAAGTTAAATCTATTTGTTAGGCTTTATTATGTCTTCACCAGGCTTAGCAGCAAATTTGTTTGCTGCTGTGTAGGGAAACAATCTTTAAATGCATAGGTGAATAAGATTTCTTTAATTTTACTTGGAACCGGTTCTCACTGGCCAAGAAAATATGCATTAAAGGGAACAAAAAAAAAAAAGTTTGAAGGTTTTTTTTTTTTACTCACTAAAAACAGCAAAAATGAGAGAAAAAGTAAGTTTGTTCAGGCAGAGAAAGTCTATTAAGAAAGCACCCATTCTTATTTTACCGCTTATGTAAAACAGCCAGGAGCTGCAGAGACAGGCTGTTCTAGTGTTTGCCTCCATGTTAAGTGGACTTTTCCTACATGCACACTGAAAGACGAGGCACAGATCGGCACATTGCTCGTGTTACGGACACATCGTACAAGTGATCAACACGCATCGCTCTGTTTCGCAGGCTCAATGCTTGGCTGTGGAGGAGATGTAACGCTGCAGACCTTCTCTGGTTCTGCTAGGAGGGGGGGTTCATTCCGTATGTGTCGAGGGTATCCTGTTTCTGGGGCATTCCCTAACCCCCCCACCTCATACTGATCTAATCCTGTGTGGGATACCTATACCACCCACATCCGCCCACTCTGTTTTAACTGTCAGAATAACTCCTTTAGAATAGGGATATAAGAGGGATTTGGTCCCTTTTCAGTCCTAAATGTAACTCTAATCAAGTCACCGGACTCGATCAGTGGAAATTATTTCATTTGCAGCTTTGGTTATCCATAAATCCTCACACATCTAGCACCACCATGGGGTTTAAACTAAATGTCATGACATTTATTTAGTGGACTGGCCTGACACTTGATATTCGTGATTTGTGTTGAAAAATAATTCCCTTTAGGATTAAATCTTATCTTGTCTTTATCCTCAAATTTGAAGTAAAAGATTAAAACCCTAATCCAATAAACTGTTTTCTTTCAAAGGAAGTTTTCGTACATCCATAATTACTTTAGTTCCAGTGTTATTTTGAAAATGTTTTCATCTCATTTAAAGTAACATAATGACTTTCCTTTTTCAGGAGATGCGTAAGTATTGTCTTGATAACATGTTGGCGAATCTGTGTTCCCCTGCAGAACTTAAAACAGTCACAAAACAGTGTGTATATATGTAAACATACAGTATATACACACTGTTTTGTGTCTGTGCATACTATGTGTATACTACATATACGTGTATATATATATATATATATATATATATATATATTAAACTCCCTTTAATATAAACTCATCTCTGTTGGGATTAGGTCTGGACACTGGCTAGGCCACCCCAGAACCTTGATATGCTTCTTACAGAGCCACTCCTCCATTATCCTGGCTGTGTGCTTCAGGTTATTGTCTCATATCCTTCTAGTGATCAAATGAAAAAACTATCTTTACTACATACGGTATTCACAGATTGATACTACCAGATTTTGTTTAGGTTAATTTGAGTATTTTATGAGTCTGTATCTCTGTCTCCATGATGAACTACTCCGATGTACCGCTGTCATCCTCCCAGCCACCCGCAGCCTCTCCCTACCTTTAGCGGTGCAGTCTGCACAGCAGACCCCTCTACCGCCGTCCTCGTTCAGTCCTCTGCAGTTAGCTTTTATAGCTAACTCACACCAGTCTTAGACTCTCCTCACTCTGGCACTATTTCCCTGGTGGGCTTCTCTGATCTACCGCTGTGGCTCCTCAGCTCCAGAGGGCCTTGTCCCGGTTATGGTGCTCTTTCTGACAGTGTTCTTGAAGTGATTTCCAACTGCTCCTGTCTCAGCTCCAGAACTCAGTCTCACGTCACCTCTGTTGCCCGGGAGAATCTGGTGAACCTAGGGACAGCTAATGCCAATGGCTTAGTTTGGCTTTCAAAAGTAAAAAAAAAAGACCCGTAATTTGCTCCGTAGAACCCCAGTAATCCCTGTTTTCTGGGAAATTGTCTCTGGTCCATACTCAACAAGTCAGTATTTAAAATCACTGGTTTTTCAGACCCCCCCCGTAATTGACATTTATGCACTATTTTTGCACGCCACGTATCACTTTACTTGGATTTATCACTTTACTTGGATATTCACTTTATTTGGATTTAGTTTTTACATATGCATATATGTATATATGTATATATATATATATATATATATATATATATATATATATATAAAACTGTAACTAGAGCGTGTAACAAAAGTAATTTCCCTCTGGGATTATTATAGTATTTCTGATTCTGATTCTAAGGGCGTCATGTCAACTACCCCTAGATTCAAAGAGGAATTGGGACATCTATACCCTTATGGGAAAGCACAATATTCAGGGGTAGAGCTGAAATGTAGGGCTAAGGGGTGTATTGGGATAGGCCCCAAATATTGGTCAATTATACTTGGTGGAAATCTTCTTAAAAATACGAAAGTGTAATTCTGTCTACTTGAGCATTGGGCTTTCTTAAATTTATGAATACACTTTTATTCAGTCATCAGGTTATTTGCACAGGATGTAATGATAGATGAATCCTAACAGTGATGAATAAATAGATTTTTTACAATTAGAAGTTTAATCAAACTGAACTTTATGGGACAATATATATATATTTCAATTTCTTGCAATTATAAAAAGTTGAAATAGATGAGAAGTGAATCACCTCAGTTTGACCTTATTTCCCCATCCCAACATCATAAAGCTCACCCAGCCCACTGGGTCATCTTTAAAGTCTTTGGGTGGCCATTTGCACAACAAGAAAGCTGCCTTGGCAGAGAGTCTTATTGCTGCTTAATGTGACCCAGGGTCGGCCCTCAGTGCTGGAGCTTTTCACACGTCTTGCTTCTTACCTCTCAAGTTACGTCCACACTGTCCTTCTGCAACAAAAGAGACAACTGACTGCCCTGTCCTTCCCAGACCCCATCACCGCGGATCCACTGGAAATTTCCCTGTGCTATCATTCCAGCATCTATGGAAATTAAGTGTCTTGTAAATGAGGCCAACCCCTAATTAAGAAAGGCTACTGAGAATGTCCAAAGTGGCTGATGTTAATGTTGTTACTCTATCTGCTGTCATAGAAAGGATAGTTTCAGACTGTTTGTGTACCTGGTTTTTGTCCCAAAGGCCCCTCAAAGAAGGACACTGTGTTACTTATTATTTCTTCTTAAACAAATAATAATGGCTGCATTGATTTCTTTCATGAAGATTGTGTGCTCAGCCTATGGATTTGAATTAGTCTCACAGGGTAGAAAGATAAATGTTGTCATATTTCACCAGGAGATTGGGAGTCTATTAGGTACCTAAGACTGAAAATTGTAGTTAATTAATAGGTCATTACCATTAGTTAAATAATAATAACTGAGGTCTGCTTACTCACTAGGATTCCTTAACCAGGGTAGTGCCTGTGAATTGGCTGTTAATCCAGTTGTCCTTCACCAATTTAGTAATTTAGACTTAGACTTAATCACCAACCAATACAATTTTGTCTCTGTTCTCCAAGTGAAAACCAAAAAATGGTGGATCTGGCTCTGAGTGATAAATTGTCCATTGTACTGCTCGGTTAAATTTAATTCAATTATACTTTATTGATCCCCAAAGGGAAATTCAGTTACCCTGAAAATAAATAGCCACAACCATACTGCAGGTTAAAGCACTATATAGAGTTACACCATTTGAGATGAATGTCTGAACGTCAACTGGATGAAAAAGTAGTGAACTCGAAATTTCCCACATTGCTCCTTAAAAAGTAGAGATCATCAATGGTCACGAGATGAACAAATATATCCCAGAGTGCTTTGCAAGAGTTCTCCCCACAAAAGATCACTAGATTTGTTGTGGCAACGACAAAAAACAAAGATTGGGCATGCACCGTGCAAAAAGGCTGTCATGATCTTGGCGCTGATGGTTTGGTTTTTTCCTTTGCTCCGTGCTCCCCTGTCTAATTGATTCTGCGGCTGATTATCGCCGATTATTTCCACCTGGTTCCTCTACTATTTAAGTTGTGTGTTTGCCTCCCATCAGCACCAGGTTATCCGTTTGTTTAGGTGAGACGTTTCCGAGCAATCTTCAGTCTGTCTGTTTTCCTGATTATGACCAGTTTTCTGCCCTGAGGATCTCGAGTTTTGCCTTCCCCCTATCTGCTCTGTTTGTCGCATCTGATCCTGGATTCTACCGGCTTCTGAACCTGGAACTGTCTCCTGACTTCGGCCTTGGATTTCCCTTCTGGACTCTGTTGCTGCTCGGCGTCCACTGCTCGCTATCTAGGAACTCTGGGGGCGTCGCCCGTTGCAACAGCGGTCAAAGCTCCGCGAGCGGACTGAACTTTGAATCAGGTCAGTGACTTTGCTCCAAGTCGTATTCAGCTCCTCATCCAGTCGCTGACCTGTATTCTCCAATTTCTGCAAATATCCGCCCCGCAGCAGACGAGCAGCTCCGCGAACCTGTTTTGTTAAACAAACGCTTTGAACTTTCCCACTGCCTGTCTCGCCTTGAATTTTGGGTCCAATATTCTGAGCTCATTACAAAGGCGGAGTTTTGTGACCAAAGCAGAGCGAAAAGTACTGATTATTGTCCAAACGGTCATTTATCTGAGTGCACTATAAAATCCACTATATAATCCAAACACTATATAGTAATTGAGGGATTTGAGTGATTATCCTGCAGCCAGAGTTCTGATGAAAAATAGAGAAGTAACATGTGAGTTACAAGTAACAGCAAGTTAAAGTCCAGATATTAATCGGAAAACCTGTTGCCAGATTTAAAAAAAATACTTTCACAGATATTTCCCTTCAAGTCTGATTAAAGTTAAGCTGTTTTACTAAAGATATGGACAAATTTCAGTCTGTAGATGTTCCAGCTGGTGGAGACAAACCTGGATTATCTGTAGCTGGACCTGAAGCTAAAAGTGGTTCTACAGAGAGCTAGATCAGAGGTTTGAATGTAAAAACCCACAAAACTTTTGAGATTTGTTGAAAATGTTGAAAACTATGCACAATTTCCCTTTCTTTTTAATATTGAACTGCCTATTTTGTTCTTCAGCAACATCCCAATGAAACACAGTGCAGTTTATAATTTGAAGGTGGGATATGAGTTAAGGGGGAGGAATACTTCTTCAAGGTTCTGTATTTCAATTTGAAATGGTTAATGCATTCTTACAAACTTCTGTTCATATGTCATAATATCAAACACAATAAAAGCCTCAGTGTTTCCAACCAAATTCTACACCTGAGACATATTTTATCTTCATTTGGCACTTGACAGATCCTGGCGAATAGGATTGCATTCATTCCACATAAAAAAGGAGCCTCTTTGTACAAAAACATTCCTCTTCTCTTTCATTAAAAACATTTCTGCTGACTGTCATTCCCTTTTATTTCTCCATTCCCAGAATTCTGACGTCCCCTCTCCTCTTCTCACACCTTGCTCTGTGTCCACTCCCACTGTTCCTTAAACTCCCTCCCTCTAACTCTCCCTTTCCTTCCCCATCCTGCCCCCATTTCCACCAAAACTGATCTGAGATTAAGTTGAACACAAGCCCTGCTCAAGTTTGCACCTGTTTCCATCAGCTCTGTTTACAGCTTCTTCAAAAACCCCCTCAGATTTCTACATTTTATTCCTGAAGTTTAAAGCTAACAAACTGCTGGATTGTTTGAGGAGTTTGCTGGTAATCCTGTGGTGACAGGATTGTTCAGACGGCTGTTTATCAGCTCCATCAGGACATCCAGCTGCTCTGCATACCTCCCATCACTTCCACTGTCTCCATCACAGCCATCCTGGCTGGATGGGATACTGCTGCTGCGGAAATTAAAAGGTTGGACCTGTGGGGCTAGATGTCCATTCTCTGAAAGCAGGTGAGTGCACATCTATATCCTACAATGTCTGAATAGTATGAAGTTTTCTGATTTCATTGGAATACTGTATGCTAAGTAAAAATGTTGTATTAGCGCAAACATTTGGAGAAGGAGGGGTATCTGCTTTCTAATGCAACAACAGGTGTGGAAATATAGAAAATTACAGATAAATACTGTCTGACACCCAGTAAAATAACAAGGTTCACAAAGTCAAAGCAGAGCACTTGTGGAAATCTTTCTGTTGATGATGCATGATGAGAGGTTGATGACATAACAGCAGATCTCTATCAGCAGGGACCACTAACTCTGGCACACCTGAGCACATTTTTTTTTATTTTAACACATCATATAAAAATGACAGAGATCTGAAGGTTCTACTCAGCTTAGTTCACACCCTGAATGTGAAAAGATCAGCATGATTGCATCGAAATGACAGATTTTGGCCCAAAGTCCCAAATTATCTCAATGGTCGCATGTTTTAATGTGTTTGATACAAACTTTGTTGTGTGTATGATAACAAATCAATTCAAAATCAATATATATATAAAGCAGCAGTCCAGTAAAACACGACCACATACGGTTATTGATCTGCATAACATGTTGCTCATGTAGTGCAAGAAAAACTTCATTAGGTTTTCACATTCGAATCAAAGTGAACGTCACTTTGACAGCTTGTGAGCATTAAATTACAAAAATAAGAATTTGGATAAAGTGTTAATTTAATTTTAGACTCAAAGCACACAAAACCTAGTTCCCGCAGATTTCTGTTGAGTCTGGTCCTCTTTCAAGCATCAACATTTCTCATGCAGCTTCTCATGGCTTAGCTTCACTGATCTGTGTTATTGTAGCAAAGCACAATGTTTCATATGTGTGATCTCTAATGGACGGTTACATTCTGCTGAGTTTGACTCAAGTCCTGGGGTTTCAAAGACTTTATGTAACAAAACAGCAATATAAAAATACAAATAAAGGTAATTCAAATTACCATATTGTTTATTCTTAGTATGGAACTTTTCCATCAATTAGTTTCTTGGGATGCATATGTCCTGCAAGGTCTGGTTTGCAGTCTTATTTCAAATTGAAAGGCTGTTTTTAAACATTTTTGAGTAAACTTTTCTTCTGTTCCCCTAATCTCAAACTTCTATTGTTTTTTCCTGAACATCTATGCAACTTTTTAGATTAGATTTTTTTCTAGGATGATAGAAGTCTGCATTAATTCCCTAGCCTTCATTTGAAGGGACGCACTATTTATTATTTTAGGGATTTATGCAAAATAAATATACAGTAACACCTGCCAAGTATGACTCAACTAAATATGGTGATAATTACAACACATGTAATTGGTGGTATTTGACAAGCTTTCCCACGGTTGGATGACCAACACCCAGTCCAGTAATCTGCTATTTTAGTACATCTTAGCACAACGGGTTCCATTCTGTGTGACACATAGTCTTACCAAGCTTGTTTTTTTTTCCAGCTCAGCTATCAGGTAGCTTCTCATGACATTCATGCCTCACAATTTAAAGGTTTCACATCGAAAGGCCACTTTTAAAGACCAAGAACCAAACAAGTCTTTTTTATAAGTAACACAAGGATTTCAGTCAATTCCCTCTGGCAGGAGGCTGCGGTCCATCAGGACCAAAACCTCACACCCAGAGATGGCAAAAGTGCTCAC